TTGAGAGTGTCACTTGTAGGTTCAACCAGGTAGTACTCTGATTTTGTCTAACACTGGCCTCTGGGTGTATTGGTTCTGTTGTCTCTTGGGTGGGGTTCCCACTCAGAACCATTTCAGACCTGCCTGTTCCCAGTCCGTAGCTATCTGGTAGGTGCCTCAAGGCTATATGCAGTTGACTGCTGCCTGTGCTGGACCTGGGGTCATGTGGGGTTGGTCTCTGTGCGAACTGAAGCTGGCTGCCCCCTGTATTGGTCCTGAGGCAGTTTAGGAAAAGGCCCAGGGCCCCCTAGGCCTGTTGCCACCTGTCAGATGCCGGTAAGGCCCACCTATTGAAAGAGGCTCTTTAGGGACGTGTGTCTGGCTATTTGACCCAGTGTTGAGGGTGCCTCTGTGATGTGGCACTAGCTTGGTAGGATGGTGTTCAAGTGAGTTATGCAACGTGATTTGTAGTTTTTAAGATGTTAATGCAGATTCAGATCTTACACCAATACCTGGCCTATGATGCCCTTATATAGCATCCCAAGGGCACTACAGCCAGCCTCCACCTCACGCTCACAGATTCACGAAAGCTGCTCCTGAGGGGCTGTGGTGTATGTTTGTGGTCACTGAACTCCACAAAAATGACCCCAGGGCTCTGCAGACCACCTGCTGTTTTAAAAAAACCTTTTCCAAAGTTTGTGGGGGTGGGGTGAGTCACCCCGGCACCCCGATTGCCCCTGGCAATGCAGCTGTAAGTGGGCGAGGTGGTGGTACAGGTACATAAAGGCTGTGGTCAGTGGTTTCTACAAATTCAGTGTAGTCTCAGCTCCTGGGCCAGTTCTAGGTCCACACCAACTTCATAAAACAAAAACAAAGCAAGGCAACCCAACAACACCAAAAAACTCCCACAGAAACTCGATAAGCAATGATGAGACAGGAGAAACAAAAGTATATAAAAGAGACACAAACACAAACACAAAAATAGGAGAACAAGACAGAAAAACAGTGACCAAGGCAATATCCAGATCAACAAGTCTGAGAAACAATGACAAAAACAAAACAGATAAAAGAAAAGAAAGGATCAAAAAGATGAAAGAGAAAGAAAAGAAAAAATAATAATAAAGAAAAAAAGGGGGAAGAAAAAAGAAGGAAAAAAAACAGGAAAAAAGAGATTAAAAAAAAAAAAAGGCTCTCCGCCCACTTTAATCTGCAGACCACTTGCTCAACAATATAGAGTCTCTGGGTGACTCAGCACCAGCTATGTTGGGGGGAATTGCTCAGTGCATCATGCACTGGCCTCCCTCTCAGGCTTGCAGTGAGCTTCCCGCAATTAGCTGCTGTGTGCTCTGGAACTGTGCTCACCACCAAAAACACTCACAGGTTGTTGTAGGCTGTCTGCTGCTGCAAAAAACCCTCTGTGGCCTGTGTAGGTGGGGGCCAGGCACCAGGGGCTCAGGGTGCCCCTTGCAACACAGCTCTAGGTAGGCGGGGCAGGCCCCCAAAGCACCGTGGGGTGTGGTCAATGGCCCCCACCAAGTCAGAGCAGCATGCACTCTTGCACTAGCAACCAGTCTGCACAAATGCACCAAGAATTCCCCAGCCAGATCACACAGACTCCCAGGTCCCGGCCCAACACTCCCAGGAAAACTCCCAGTCTCAGCCTGTCCCAATCAGCCGCTCACAGATCAGGCAGAGCATCCTGAAAGCCAATCGCCAGCCTGGGACTCTGCATGTGCAGTGCGGAGAGCGGGACCCAAGGCGACTTGCATGCTCCTGTGTCTCAATGAGCAGCCTGTTGGAGCTTGAGAGCCCCCGCCAGGGGTTTCCCATGCTACGGGGGCACAAGCAGTGCAGAGGGTGGGGATCCAAGGCTGCATGCGCACACACACATTCCTGTACCAATTCTACCAGACCAATGTGGTCCCGGACCTGACCCTCTATGGGAGGGCCCAGCCCTGAAAAAATGGCGCCCTCCTGTACACTACTTGTGTGCAAACTCCACACCGGGGGAACAATGGTCCCAAAACCTCCAGCTCCCACACCTAAGGTGCTCAGTTCAGTCTTTCCCCGCAGGCTCCTGGGCCCCGCTCACACAGCCACTCCCTCCACCAGGGACAGGTGAGTGCTCACTGGCAAGCGAGTCTGTGTGCCGGCTCCACTGGTTCTCTAGCCGCTCTCAGCCTCACGGAGTTGGGCAAAGAGAGTTCTCACAAATTTCTACTGCCAGCTATCGTGGAACTCCTCTTCCCAGCAAAGTAACTCTGGGGTGGTGAGTGCGGTGTGGGGCCGGAGGGTCTCTCCCCCAACCAGAGAAGCCTCCTCACCTCTGAGTGTCCCTCATGGGGTTCACCCTCTCTCGTCTCTGCCCCTCCTACCAGACTCGACGTGGCCTCCTTTTTAAGTTCTTCGTTTAGAGGTTCTGTTCATCTAGTGTTCAGGGGACTTCTGAGGTTGAATGTTGTATAAATTATTTGTAATTTTGGTGTGATCCTGGGAGGCAGTTGGCACAGCGACTATCTATTCCTCTATCTTACTGGAAGTCCGGGAAGAGAGGATTTTGAGAAGGAAACTGGCTCAGCAAGTTCAGATGCTGTGGAAAGGTAGAACATGATAAAGGCCATTGAATATGGCTGTGTCAGGGGTCCCCAAACCACCCTCAGACTTGATGATTTACTAGAAGTACTCAGGACTCAGAAATGCCAGTGTCCTATGGTCACAATTTAGTACAGCAAAAGGAGACAGATTAAAATTAGCAAAGAGAAAATTTGCCCCATGGAGTGAAGTCCAGGAGAAACCAGGAGCAACTTCCAAATGTCCTTTCCCAATGGAGCCACTCAAACATGCTTAGTTCCCTCAGCAATGATGTGTGACAACATGGGAGAGGTGTGGCCAACAAGGCAGGTTTACTTGAGCCCTGATATCCAAGCTTTTATTGGGGTTCAGTCATGTATACCTTCCTCACATATGTGACTGACCTCAGCTACTGAGATTCCAGCCCCCAGAATAAGGTTAACCGTAAGTCACATTGTTAGCATATATTATTTAATTAAACTGGTACCATGTGGCCCAAGGCCTCAGACATACAGAAAACAACCTTATTGGGCAGAATATCCTGAGGGCTCAGAGCTCCTGTCTCAGGAGCCAGCCAAGGGACAGTCATGAACACAGGCCTTTCTTGGGAGTGTGCAGGCCTAGTTGAGTAATGTTTTCCTGCACAGTGGCAATTAGGAGCTCACTGGTAATGTTTGAGCAAGGAACATATATATAAATGTAGAATGCATGTTTTTATAAGTTATATGTATTATCTTCATGAAAACATAGATAAGTAAGAAATCATAATAAATAAATTGTTAGGTGTAGATGAGAAGTTGAAGATCCCCTTGGATATGTCTACTCTTTCATGTTATGAAAGACTGGATTGAGTCAATATGGTGGGATCTGTGTCCTACCCGTTGTTTTTCCTCAGACAAGGACAGTCCCTGGACTGAGTAGGTGCTCAGTGAATCTTTGTTGAATGATGAGTGAAACTTTATAAGTTGCGCGTCCCCTTGAGAGAGAAAGTGGACTCCCTAGATGATTTCTGGAGAGTTTACTCAGACTAATGGCCCTATGTTGTCTGTACGTCTACTTATAATTCCCGTTTCACATAGCGAAATGTGATCTAATTGATATGCATGAGCCTACTTTAATAATAGGATATTTTAAAAAGAAGGATGGGCAACTGGAGACAAGAAGGGTTTTGAGAAACTGTTGATGGATTCCTCTATAGGAATGTACTGAGTTAGGTTTGGAATTTTTTTTTTATGAGCTATACATTGTACTTATGTAAAACAAATTTCAGTTCTGTTATTTTAATATGGTCTCTATTATGGTCAGTGCCTGTGTTTCCAAGTGGTGTCCTTGCAGCTGCTACTGGAGATTCTATTAAAGATTCTTGTGTAACAGATGTGTTTGGTCCTGTGTGAATGAATGTCGGTCACAGCGGCTTTCATATCAATGGAATCAGATGACTAGAGAGCCATTTTAATGTTCTGTTAGGTTCTTTAACATGGGGTGGTGTTCATGTTTCTGTTGCTGAGGCTGTGGTGCAGCAGTGCTGGTATGAAAATGAGAACGGTTTGATTACTTCTCTGAAGGAGAGTGAAATAAGGGCAAGTGAAGAGAGGAGTAGGGGAGCGAGAGGAGAGAGGCAGGTTAGCTTTAAAGAGATTCATCTGCACCCAGTTCTGTTCTACTCTGCTTCTGATCTATGTGCTTCTGCCCTCTGCAGAATAATTCAGCTGTTTTATCAACTTCCTGAAAAGTGGGGTGAAGCGGTATGGAACAAACACATCAGAGGGGTGAAGTGGAGCACATCTAAAGGAGAGCAGAGTGTTTCGTCTCGTGTTCTCTGTATGCTTCCCCGTCCTTCTTCTGGAGCTGGAAACGGCTGAATGGATGTCCACTCAATTTTAGTTCATCTCGCTACCTTCAGGTTACACTGACACATATTTGAAGTAATACACAGGGGTCCAGGCGGTCACTGTCTCATGCAGTCATGAATTCTCCACAACCCAGCAACCACTCAGGAGTCCAGTGTTTGCTTTGATGTGGACTGACCACAAAATGACCTTCACTGGGTTTAGTAATTAATTAATGACTAATTTTGTATATACATGATAACATTTCTTTGTATGTTCATATGAGTTTATTAGGGGTTTCCAGAATTATCAACTAAGTCTGGGTAGAAAAACATTTTATGATGAGAAACCTTATTGGTAACCTGAATACAAATAGGATAAGAGCAGGTGTAAATGCCATTGAACTCCTGGGTATTGGTGCGCATGAATCCATGAATATATATGTATGGTTGAAGGAAATCATCGGTAGGTCAGGACTTTCTCACTATTATGTGTCTCTTCAAAACATAACTCAGTTTTCACATGCAAAATAAATTGATAGTTGAAACAAATTTTAACTTGTTAGTGTTCTATTCAAATCAAATTATGTGCAGCTAATCATCATTTTTGGATGCCTTCCAGAGACAGATGGGACTGTTTGCAGAATTCTCACGAAAGCTGAAGGACTTATGGATGCGGATATACCCTTAGAATTGGTGTTCCATTTACCGGTCAATTACCCCTCCTGTCTACCTGGTATCTCGGTTAGTTCTGAATGCCTGACCAGGGCCCAGTGTGTGGCTGTGAAGGAGAAGTTACTAGAGCAAGCGGAGAACCTTTCGTCGGAACCGATGGTTCATGAGCTGGTTCTCTGGATTCAGCAGAATCTCAGGCACATCCTCAACCAGCCAGAAACAGGAAGTGGCAGTGGAAAGTGTACTTTTGCAGCAAGCATGACTGCGGATGATGGATTGTGGATAACTCTTTTGCATTTAGATCACATGAGAGCAAAGACTAAATATGTCAAGACTGTGGAGAAGTGGGCTTCCGATTTAAGGCTGACGGGAAGACTGATGTTCATGGGTAAAATAATACTGATTTTACTACAAGGAGACAGAAACAACATCAAGGTGCCAAAAAGTTTAATGTTGAATAGGAATTTGGCTATTTTTTGCTAAAATGGTGTGTCTATAAGTGTGTGTTATAACAATGGGACAGATTAATCATTTAGATGCTTCTGCTTTTACTACTACCATGCTAATAGATCTCCATTTTTTGTAAGAATGTCTTTAACTTCTAATTAGAACTACAAACTTGCAAAACTTGAAGAATAAGTATCAAGATTATATTTAAAAATTCATGCCATTTAATGTGAGAGGTTATAAAAAAAATCTCTGGTACATGAGTGTTTGTTTCTGTACTTAGCCTCAACTTTATAAACATGCTGTAAAACTTGGTGCATATTTATATTTCTTTCCTTAGTAGGCACAGCAAGGTTTATATTTGTCGGTAGCCTGCAAAAAATTTTAACTTTTTGGCAGTTAAAGATACATTCTGACACCTTAATTTGCTATCTGTAATACCTGGAAAGAGGAGCTGGTCCCTCCTACCAGGATTTAGTGTGAGTGGAAGCAGAGTCATTAGGGCTGTCAGCTTGTCACCTCCTACATAACTTTTGCTTTCCACCTGAATTGTCTCAGCAGCTGCTTTCAAAATCATCATCTTCAAGTTTTCCAAGTTCTCATTCTAAACGCATCTAACCTGTTTTATGTGGTACCAGACGAGGAAAGCTGCTTATTATATTTTAAATTTTAAAAGAGCTACAAATCACTTAATAGGTTTTATGCTTTCAGATGGGTTGAGTCAAGCAAGAATCATTACAATTGAATTTATTTAAAACAGATTTATCTTGCAGAACCTATAATCTTAAAGATTTATAGAATAACTGCCTAGTTTTTTCATGTAGGGCTCTTACCACAAAACTTGTTTGACATTTAGTTAACCAGATTAGTGTTGGGTTATAGCATATAGATACAACAAATAATTCAAGTGTAATAGAGATCCTGGATTGGGGTCTGACCAAGGAACCATATATTTTAAGATAATTTGTAATATATCTATAAAGCTTGGTCCTTTTGGGTAAGATACTGGCTGGCAAAAATGGATACAAGTTAATTTTCTTGCTCCTATTTCCCGAAAGGCTCAGATTTTTCTTTAAGCCAGCCCAGGCACATCAGGCCAGGTGCACCTGCTTTGCAGATGTTGCTCAGACTGTATCCATCGATTAATTAACAAGTATTTACATGACTAGAACTCTGCTAATGTAGAGAAATTGAACTTTTTAAAGAGTTCTTTCTTTTCTTATTAACTGTCCCTAAAATGCCATGTAATGTCAATATTTCTGTCAAATTTTTATAAGATTATAGATCAGGATTGAGAATTACAGGTACATATTTACAGATGCCATCCATTTGGAATGGCAAGTGCTGTGTGCCTGTGACTGTCATTCAGACACTGAGGTAGTAATAATAATGACAACAGTAGCTGGTGCTGTATTAAGGGTTCCACTCCTCTGAGTGCTTTGCATGTACTGACTCACTTAATCATCACAACTTCCCCATAAGGTAGGTACTGTGATGCGTAGGTTACTGAGGCACAGAGGGTTTAAGTAACCCACCCAGAATCACAGCTGGTAGGCTGTCCAGTCCAGAATTAAACCTCAGGAGTTTGTTCACCTCGCTCTTAACTTCTGCGTTCACCAGTACGTTATGCTGCCACGTATGTAAAACCACTGTAACTCTCTCACTGCTTGATTCAGAAAGAGATTACTCTTTAAGCATGAAAATAAGCCTGTAGGTTTATGGCTCCTTTAAAAGTAGAACTTTGGGATTCAGAAGTAAGATATGTATTTAACGTACTGATTTATCATTTAGGAGTACCTGATTCTTCAGAAAACCTGCAAAGTAGATGTGGACTCAAGTGGAAAGAAATGCAAAGAGAAAATGATTAGTGTACTGTTTGAAACAAAAGTACAGACAGAACACAAAAGGTATAATTTAGTACCATTGCGGATGGAAAAGCAACTGAATCGATAATTATACTCTGACAAATCTAGGCATATTCATGAGTTTCTTTTGTATAATACAGGTTTCTGGCATTTGAAGTCAAAGAGTATTCATCGTTGGATGAGTTACAAAAGGAATTTGAAACTGCAGGACTTAAGAAGCTTTTCTCCGAATTTGTACTTGGACTGGTAAAATGAAGACAGGAATAAAATAGAAGACAGGCATTTTTTAGTAAAACAGCAGTGTTTTTTTGTTTGTTTGTTTGTTTGCATTGGATTAGGGATTGACTAAATGAAATAACCCACAAAGGGAATGATTTTAAAGTTTCTCTGAAGCAAAATGGTAGATACCTAACTTTAGGAACAAAAGCCAATTCGTTTGTGGAATATCAAACAGTAAAAACAGCCATGTGTTCTAATTTTTAGCAATAAAGGCTAGGTTTAGTAGATGGAACATTCTTTGAAAGATAAATATAAAAAGATGATAGTAAATGAGCCCTTGTGTTATATAGAGAATTTGTTTGGAACTGCAATTTTCTGGCTGATTTTCTTGTAGTGAAATGATTTTTTTAAAAGAGGTTTGTTTTCATGTTTACTTTTTTCATGTTTATATTTTTAGCATTTGGTCATGATTTTCCTCCATTTATCTTATTACATCTAATGCTTTAAGTTGAATGTTAACGAAAATATAACACTTATTTCTTTGTAGAATTGCATAAATCATTAGTTAGATTAAATATAAACCAAAGAAGTTCTGTAGAACTTAATTTACAATTACTTCCTTTGGGGTCCCAGAATAGCACAGTACTTGCTACCTATAGGACTAGAGAGTCGATTTAAATTAAAATTCTGTTTTGAAAATTTTACTCTCTGGTTTTACAAGGGGCGAAAATGTTCCACATAAAATGAATTTGGCTTGCTGGATGGAGGAAATTATATCGAGGTAGTACTTTTTATTTCTTATGAAGTCTGTTAAACTATGATAACCTTAAAATATATTTATTATGACCAAAGGAGAGAAAAAGCCATAAAATAAAAGCTCATTTTAAAATATGTAACAAACGTGTAAGCAGGCATTGAGGTCTGAGAAAGGATATTTGTGTGCATGAGGCTGCCAGGGCTTCTAAAATAAGGGGCCAGGTGACGGGAGAAAGGCCATGCAAATCTCTCACTGCAATCTGGGAAACACAGTGATGTCATTATAAAAGTAAAACTGATGGGAGAGGTAAGTGAGGAAACGTTGTGACATGCCGAGCAGGGTTTCTTGACAGTACTGCTCTGTGACCATGGCAATTCAATCTGATTTTCTCATTTTCAGGCCCCCTTGTAATAAAAGTATACCTACTTGTAGATCATTTTATGGGATTCTGTTAATGAGAGGGGATTTTCAGTTTATTTACTCTCATTCCAGAGTGTTTATGATTTTTTCCTGGAGAACTGGTAAGTGCAGTTAGAGTGTTCTATGGAAGGAGCGTATGGCAAGTTGAAGCTTCACCGCTGGCATGCAACACTGAGAAAATAGGCTTGAAAATTGTGGGCTGGTCATTATTACCCCTTCATTTGATTTACTATAGTTTTAGTGAAAATGAAAATAGTGAAAAAGAACAGAATTTAGAATATTGACCATGTCTTTGGGATGGCTGGAGAGTGACCACATAGAATGACATGAAAAGTTACTGCTCTCAGGCTGTTAATAGTAAGTAGCAGGAGTAGGAGTTGGCGTCTGAATTTTATCACAACTGAACGGCTAGTCTTCTGTCTTACCTTGCGTCTTCTGTGTACGGGTGTCTTCCACTTTGTGCTTTATTGTACCCCAAACTTGCATCTTTAAATTTGACTCTCTATCCCTAAAGAAGAGCTTGAATCAGGTAAAACTGAATGTTAATGATGACTTTCTCCAACGTAATTAAATTCCTATCTACTAAAATTATGTTAAAAAATATTGTTATTACTTTCTTGGATGTTTATATCTAAGTCTTTCACAAATATGTACACATCAGAATGCAAAACTAAACCTTAACAGGTGTAAATTTAAATTTAATTTGACCTCTGGATGAAATAAAATTTGAAATTATATGCCAAAAGGCTATGAGTCTCTGGCCTTTCTTAAATTTTAGTAGTTGAAGAAAAGAATCTTAATTGTTTCCATTGATGTTTTTGCCTCAAACTCTGATGCTTTTCTTTCAGCTTGAGGTCATTTGAAAAGGTAATTAGGACTTCTGCTTCAATTATAATAGACCAACTTCTGACGGAAGAGAACCAAAAACAAAACATAACAACATCCTCTGAAAAGTATCAACAATCTAGAAGATCATGAGAATTGCTACACTAAATGTGGAAGAGGAGAGGAATCCAGAGAAGTGAGCACAGCACCTGAGTCTGTTTTTCCCCAGGGTGCATTTGTCAATCTGGAGGAGGTAGCTGAAGGGCTGAGTTAATTTTTGGCAGCTTGGAGATCTAGGGAGTAAAAAGTTGTGATCTGGGAGGTAGAGGAGATGGGGCCAAGAGCTGGGACCCCTGAAGAGCTATACTGTACGAATAAGAACGAACTGTAAGTATGAGTTGTCCTAGACTATAACTAAGCTTTAAGGATTCTGGTGGGTCCATGAGAACCTCTGTCCCTGATGCCATATTTACTCTATACATGAGCCCTCTGAGCAAACTCTGGAATGCTAACGAAAAGGGCTGGCTGACATTCACAAGACGAGTCAGCCTGTCTATTTAGTCAAGGAAGGCTTTCTCTGCAGTGGTTGTCCTAGGATAAACATTGTATGGGACACAAATATCCTCATATTTTATGCTCATCCTGAGGTCCATTCACAAATCTCTGCCCCAGATCTCCTTGTCATTAGTCTTCTGATCTTATTCTTTCAAAGTTCCTGACTACCTGTGGCCAATGCATTAACCACTGCCCATAAAATACTGCAGATCTACAGCTGTGGCTATCTCTACCTACATAAAAGAGACAACCAGAAGTACTGCCCACTGAGAAGATTTCTCTTCACCTCCACCTTTCAGAGAGAATCTAGATCGGAATGGTAATTGTTGAAGCATATTGTGAAGACCCACTCATACACCAGGCCTTTGTTCTTTCTACCTCAGTTAACAAGATAGGGGGACTCCCCATGATACCATAAGTGTGGGCGGAGGATGAGGAAGCTGTGCAGGAAGAGTAGGCACTGTAGACTCCTGACACTTGATTATGTAGCATACTTGTGTCTTCAGGACCTTCTTTTTTTTTTCCCCATTTTTTTTTAATTGTTGTTTCAGGTGTACAGAACAATGCAATAGTTATCCTTTTCACCCTTCACACAGAAACAACCCCCCTCCCCCATCTACTGCCCTCCCACCCCCGATATCATGCTTATCTATTACAATTCCATTGACTCCATTCCCACACTCTACTCCACGCCCCGTGACTATATGTATATATAATTGTAGTTGACATACATTATTATTCAATATCAGCTTCAGAAATACAGTGCGGTGGTCAGGCCTCTACACCGAGTATGAAGTGGTCTCCCTAACAAGACATGAGTCCATCAGGCCCCTTAAAAAATATTTACAACATTATTGATTATATTCCCCAGACTATCTTCTCCATCCCAGAGGCCACACCGTGGCCACCAATCCTCATCATCCCATCCCCTCCCTCTCTCCCCCATCCCCCACCCAACCAGCAACCCCCAGTCCCTCCTCTGTGTCTCCAAGACCACCCCTGTCCACACCCCTCATCCATTCAGCTTCAGGACCTTCTTGAGCTAGATCTTGTACTCGTATATATCACTTCATTTGTACATGTCCAATGTTATGATTTCATAAATGAACTAATATGCAGTTCATGATGGGTAGCTTGGGTCACGTGGCCAATAGGTGTCCCATGGTCAAGTGTTCAATCTTATCTAAGATCCCATAGCAAGCTGGGAACTTTTAAGAGAAGGATAATTATAGAAAAGGGCTTTGATTTAAAATCTTAAGCTTCTATTATGCTTGTGATGGGCTCCATACAGTCATCACAGGTGATAACTACACTGAGCATCGTTGGGTCTTCTGGGTCGTAAGGTCCCAAGGAGAAGGATGGTTGTACTATACTCTACATTTGCAGCCTCTTGTTCTGGGCCTCACTCAAAACAGGCAACTCCTAGCGTTAGTCAATCTTTGAGGCAGTTTTTGCAATGTTGGCATCTCTGAGTGCAATATATATATATATATATATATGGACAATCTAACTATGCTGCTCAAGGTTGGTTCAGGGACACAATCTCATGCACTACCCCAGACCTACTGAATTAGAATCTAAAATTTAACAAGATCCCTAAATGATTTTAATGCACATTGTAGTTTGGGAAGCACTACCTTATATTCATATGTTCCTAAAAATGTGTGAGGAGCTCGAAGGTGAAAAGTTGAACAATAGACATACATGTTGTAAGGGACATTCCAGTCCCAGAAAGCTAAAAATATTATAAGATTCTTAATTACTATTGCCTATCAAACAATATTTGATCATATATTTCTAACATTTCTTACATATTCTTAATTGTGTTCCTTGTCTCATACTTAGCATTCAGCTGAGTAAAGATTAATGATTGTTATGGATAAGATGGAGATCATTTGGCATGGTAAGAAAGGTGGATGTACAGTGTTGTAGCACAGGGCAGGAAAAGAAATTTGAAATAAATATTGGGTTGTCAGAAAAGTCATGATGTATTTTTCCTATGTTTTTCATTGCAAAAATGCAATCATGACTTTTCCGACAACCCAATAGGTTAAAAATAGGAGCATTGCCCCGGTATTGTGAAAAACAGGCAAAAATGTCTAAAGGTAGGAAAACTGCCAATGATGTATAAAAATTATCAAGAAGTGAAAAAAGTTGAGAAATGGAATCCTTATTTTTGATCCATTTGTCATTTCAACTAATCTAAAGCCTCAATCAGCTTGCTTTCCACCATTTGGTTTTTGACAATTCTTTTTTCCAAAAATTCTGGATCATGTGTTTTAACTTCTTCAATTTCTTTAGATCACCTGAAATTATATTGCTTTATTCCTTCCATCCCTCTTGTATTAGTCAGGGTTCTCCAGAGAAACAGAGCCAATAGGATGTATATTTATTTATTTTTAAGGAATTGGCTCCATTAATTATGGAGGCTGGCAAATTCAAAATTTGCAGAGTGGGCTGGCAGCCTGCAGACTCAAGAAGAGCCAATGTTGAAAGGCTGTCATGCTAGAGACCTGGGGAAGAGCCAATGCTGCAGCGAGATTCTGAAGGTCGTTGGCTGGCAGAATTCTCTGTCGCTTGAGGGAGGTCCGTCTTTTGTTCTATTCATATTTTCAACTGATTGGTTGAGGCCTACCCACATCGTGGAGGACAATCTGCTTTACACAAAGTCCAATGATTTAAATGCAAATCTCACCCCAAACATCCTCACAGGAACATCCAGAATAATGTTTGACCAAATAAATACCTGGGCAGTGTGGCCCAGCCAAGATGACACATAAAGTTAGCCATCACACTTCTCAAGAAATATCTTTGCTTTTAGAGGCAAGGAATGTGGCTTTAAGTTCAGTTCATATCTGCTTAATTCATTGCAATCTCTTCCTACCTGTTTTCACTGCTACAAAACGTTAAATACTGCCATGAATCTGTAGTAGCATCAGTAAGAAAGATACCATTTACAAAACAAGTTAACAGCTTGACAAACTGTAGTTTACTTTGGCCAGAATGACTCCTCTTGAGTCAGAACTGGCCACAATAATAAATTGCACAAAAAGCTCTAGCTTAGGAGTATAAAAAATGTGGACTTGAGGACATATATTGATTTTTTTTAAAAAGTGAACTCATCTGCTTCGGGGCATCTTTCCAGAGCTCTAAACTTGTGTTTGCTCAGTTCATTGTTGGCAGCAGACACCCTGAAGTGTTATTTGGAAGGAATCCTGGAATTGTGCTCCTTTTTAGGTATACCCCAACCTCGTCATTTCTGAGGTATCTGACTACCTTCTTCCCATCATTAAGGGATTACTAGCTTCTGCTAATCTCAGCAGTAGATGGTTGATGCAATTAAGAAAGCTCTTTTGTAAAGTGCTAGTGATTTCCCAAAATTTCATGTATGTATTCTTTCCCTTTATTCCTTGGGAATGTCATCAATTTCCATAGCTTTCATTATCCCTTCTATGTAGTTGAACCTCAGTTTTATAGTTCAGGCCCTGACTTCTTTCCTGACTCTAAACACCCATTTCTTACTCTCTGCCTGATACCGCAACTTAGATGTTCTACCAAAACCTCATATCCAATGTGACTTAAACAGACTCATTAACAATGCAATGTTTGTTGTTGTTGATATTGTTATTGAAACTATCACAAGGCTGTCAGAATTAACCTTGGACTTCTTTTTGACCTCTTCCTCATTCCAATACATCCAATTAGCTGTCAATCTAATTCCCGGTGATTTGTATACACTCCTCTTTTCCAATTTCATGGCTGCCACTGTATGTCAGGTTCTTATTTTTTCTGGCTAGGACTATTGGAAGTCTCTGAACTAGTCCTCTCACCTCTGTCCCATCCTATACATGGCTACAGTTAATAATCCGTCATGTAAACACTTGGGGTCAAGTGTGTTTTAGAATGCAGATTTTTCTTTTGAATTCTTGGAGTTTTAGAAAGATAATATGGAGAAAGCACTGTATATTACAAATCCCATTAATTAGAACTGGGGTACCATCCTGTAATTAAACATTGTTATTTTGAGGTGAAATGTATGAATATTCATGTAAATAAAGAGCATAAATTGTCTCACATTGTTCATTTAAACTTTAATGCGAAATGAGTTCAGATCAGATAGCCTTTTGTCTCCAAGTAAATTATCAAAAAAACACCCATATTTTTGAATTTTAGAACACTTGGATTTTAGAATTGTGGACAATGGTTGGTAGACCTGAACTATATAAATCTTCCCCCAAAAATCATATCGCTGTGATTTCCTACTAGATTTGTTGTAAACGCTTCACTCTGCCTGTCTGAAATGCCTTATGAATTTGACCACAAACCATTATTTTCTGGTTTATCTTCCACTCACCCTCTACATAT